GGGATGTGCAGCAATCAAGGCAAAGTAATCATTAGGGCCTTGTGATGCAGCATTATTTGGGTGATAGTGGTTTTATTGACGCAAATATGCATATACAAATCTTTTACAGCGTACAGTGGGCCATGGATCCCTCTGCCACTCATCAGGTTGCTCGGAGGCACTCGTGGGAAACCACAAGGCATATAGAGATTTCTCATAGATACATACACCGTCGATATTTTCACTTTGACATTGATTTAATTTTCTAAATACTTAACCTCTAGCAGAAACTATTTCAAAGAATCATTTCGAAGGCTTCCAGTACATAGTCTCGGGTCGTCCGACGAGCTACGGGTTGTAACAGCTGGAGTACCTGCAACTTGCTAGCTTAAATCATGCATGACATTCATTCCATATATGCTATGTAAACGCAACCATTCTAAAAGCAATCTTAAAGGACTGCTTAGCAGCTTCCCACTAGCGTATAGGCCATGCATCGACAACGCCTCCCACATCGCCACTAAGGGCTCTTGAACTTTTGGAATGCACATTTCTAAAGCGTCGAAGGAGAAAGAAAACACATTCAAAGTGAATTTTTTACCGAGATGCAGAGGGAAACTACAAGCTAGAAAGACCAAGAGGCCCAAGCGCACTTCTGCGCCGAGAAATTGGAAGAGACGGAAATAGGGACCTCGAAGTGGTAGAAAAGGACCACAAAGTGGTAAGAGATGCTAATGAGATGCCTTCATTCAATGCACATAAATATCACAAAGAGGTGCAGATTAAATATACTCCTTATTTACAGCAGAATTCACGATATACTGCTCACGAACCCTCGTGCAGAAACACTGAAAGGCAAAACTGCCACAGTCTCCACGCAGGCGTGGCGTGGTTCGTTTCAAAGCCATGCATTAAGTGTAGAACTGTCTTACTGGGTCCGATTGATGTTCGCCAGATCTGCCCTTTTACAGAGGTGAAGCGCGCAGATCAGCTGTAACTGTTGAGCAACGGCCCACGAAGTTAGGCACTCAAACCCATCAATCACGTGGGACCAAGCATTTGCGTTAGACTGGATTTGAAATTCCAAACGATTTAGATGAGCGCAGATGTCATCTGTCCACAAGAAGACTTACGCTGCAGTCTGGCTTCCGTGGGGAAGCGAAAGAAAGCTAGGGTCACCGCAGATGTGCTAACAGCCCCATCGCACGAGACACATTTTGTCGAAAAACACAAATATGCTTAGCAGCTGGTGCCTGAAATAAGGAAAATATGGGAAGGATTCCTCGCCGAGAGGTGCTCTTACGCATGTACATGAAAGGAGGCACAGGCAAAAGTGCGCACCGCATACTGGCAGGAGTTTCGAGCTTGCAAAAAAGGCCGTGTAGTTTCATGCGCTCGCTAAAGAAAAGCAGAAATCAACAAAAATTGTCCAAGCAAGAAGGCTGGTAGCTCAATTCCGTGGGTCGTAGGAGCAACGTAGCCTTTTAAAGGCTCGCATTGAACTCGCACACTCGGTTTGCTATCCATACATCATTCTAATTCTTGTAGAACACCGTAGTGGCCTCACAGCAGCTTGCAGACTTCCCGCAGTGTGAACAGTGAAACCCTCTGCAGAATCAATACAAAGGCACTTGCGTGCAGACTGCAGTTAGCCTCGTTTGAAGGCCTTCATAACTGAACAACGTAGGCGATAGGAAAGCCAAATGTGGAGCTTCACAAAAGTTTACGGTTTCTTCATCTCATGCACGTCCGCGTCGCTGCGGCGACCTCTCCGGCCAAGGCAATTCTTAAAGTCAGGCTCTGCAAGACGTACTCTGTACTGCCTATATATATACTATACGAGGGTTTAGGGTCCATAGTTAGCAGACAGGATAAGATTCATGAGCTCCATGGGCAAAAAGAATTAAAATGACAGACACTGGAACATAACAAACACAGCAACACCTGCTCTGCAGCAAACGCTCTTGAGAGAAGCCGTTTTATAGCGAGTACCGCGTAGGACGGTAAGCAGAGCATAATATCAGGAGTAACCAAAGCAATGCAAAGGAGGCAGGCACTGGAATTCACGGCCGCCTCCCCCTTCCACCTCCTCCTCCAAGCATACCAGTGTGCACGCATGGTAATGAAGGCGATGCATAGCACGTTTGTGCAGTGTTGCTGGCAACGGAAGTAGGAGGAGAGGCAGCAAGGAAAAGTCATAGGTTTAGCGCAGAGAATGTCCACGATGGAGTTCAGTGAAAAGAGTTACAATGCATATGGCGGCTGCATAGGGCCAAGATGCGTAAACTCTAGAAAAGCTGAAAAGAGAATGCCATTCCCGCTTGCCACACAACACATTGCAATTTGCGCGCGATCCGTGAACGTTCTGAACTGGCTGGTTGCCAAAAACTATGCAGATATAAAGTTTTATATTGCTAGTAAATGGATAGGCTCAAAAACAGCAGAAGATTCACAGATTAAACCAATAGATGCATGTTGTAGAGCATTTGACTTTATAATAGATACAAAACGACAATACAAGAACAACTACTTTTCAAGACCACAATACATATTTATAGTTGAACAGCATATTTCCACTTATAATGCCGAGGGAGCGCGAATGGGTGCGCTTCTCCTGCTCTAACGAGCTGCGGATTCATAAAATCTGCATAGATCTGTCGTGCAGGCACAAACCCTGTTTTTTGACAGCTTCGCTCCAGCTAAATAAAAGTAAAGTAAACGCGGATCTATAAGCATTAGGGAAATTCTCTGCTCGGCACCGATGCAGACGCTGAGGCACCCGAACACAGCCCTGCCGCGAACCCTAGACCCTTAACCGTAAGCTTGATCACAAGGAAAGCTATAGATTCTTCCTTCGAACCGGCTTGTCCCAGAAACTTGTTGATGCTGTGCAAAGACGAATCGCACATTCCCTCCAAACTGAGACCGCCCAAGGCTGATCTGGTTTCTCATATGCACAGAAGAAATGCACTATTATGTCAGGGTGGTTGATCCAAACGTTCGGAGTTGTATACCCCTGCTGTAGACGTCACACTCTTGAAGAAGGCGTTGCTGCCGACGCCTCAACTCATACGGTGTACGGAAACCTTTTCTTGAAATTGATTATGGAGGTCCGCTCCTTTGTGGAGCTGCTAGGGGCGTCACCCCTCAGGCCACGCAGAGCCTGTCGCCAGCTGTCTAGGGCTAACACAGCAAGCCGATCTGCTGCAGCGCAAGCAGCAGCCGAAGCAGAAACAGCTACAGCCGAATATTTGTAGGACGATTGCTGCAATTTTTTTGCCGCATCAGACGTGTTGCTGTTTGGCTGTGCCACTGGAGCTGCAGCAAACAAAACGGCCGCTGCTGCTCCTGGTTTTCAGGGGTTCAGTAGCAGCATCTAGTGGTGCATGACAGAGCGGCATGGCATGCACCAACAGCAACTGCAGCAGCGCCATCGGCAACGAAGACAAGCTGCTGCAGGAGCAGCTTCAAAAGCAGGCACTTCCTGACTACCAGGAACGGCATTGGTAGAGCGAAGCCTGCCCTTGCAATGCTCGTGTTCCAGCTTAGACTTGTGCACAACCAGGAGGTGCAGCAGCAACAATGGCAACAGCGGCAGGTGCAGTAGTAGGGGCAGCAACGGGAACAGATACAGCAGTATCAGGCGCAGCAGCATAGCATCAGGTTCAGAAGCAGCGGCAGCAGCAAGAGCAGGCGTGGCAGCAGCACGTGCAGTAGCAGCAGAAGCAGATCCAGCAGCAGCAGCAGAAACAGAAATATCACGCGTCGAAGCAACAGCCTGCTACATAAAAACTGAATAAGTGAGAATGCAAGGTCTGTGTTGGTGAATGTTATGTTGCGCTGCTTCTCCTTTGCCTGTCAGCTGTCGCCATCTACCTGTTCTCTCTCTCTGCGTCTCTTTCTGCGTTACAGCTCGACTAAAGTGCTTCGCTGAAGCAGCAGCAGCAGTAGCAGCAGCATCAGGTACAGCAACAGTACCAGCAGCAGCGGCAGCATCAGGGGCAGCACAGTAGAAGCAATAGCAGCAGCAGTAGCAGCAGCAGCTACAGCAGCAGAAGAAAGAGAAGATGATGCATTTCAGATGCAACAAAGAAGGTCCATATTATAAAGAAAGAAAACAATTCATCTATAAGACTGAAGGCAACGCGATAGATCTCTTACCCCAAACAAATACAAAACATTAAAGAAAAACGACAGATACACAAACACAGACAGACGAAGACAAACACATACGCATAAAAAAAGAAAGGTGGAGCAGAAAGAAGAAGACAGAGATAGAAAAAGAGACAGACAGAGGGTAACAAAGACATGCAAACGAATGAAAAAGAAAAAAAAAAGAAACAGACAGAAGCACCAATGTGCTACGAGTTTCTGCTGCTTCTGTCTGTCTGTATTTCTTTGTCGTGAGCCACAAAGAAAGCAAAAAGTTGCTGTGCAGAGAGACAGCTGAAACGGAAAGTCTTAAGGCTCCCGGCTCGCGATCATGCGTCTAACTATAACCCTAAACCCTAAACCCTAAACCCTAAACCCTAAACCCGCCAGGGAAAGGTAGAGGTCGAGCAGCTGCAACTCCTCCGTCTTCAGGTTGGCATTGTGCCCAACAAAAGACGGCAGCAGATCGCCGCATTGCTGCCTGCAGCACAGACGCAGTGTAAACCCTCACTCCTAAACCCTAAACCCTAAACCCCAAGCGAGCTACAGGTCTCCGCCCGGTGATAAAATGCGCTAAACCCT